ATTTATTTATTTTTATTACTATATTTAGTTGATTATATATAGCTTATAGATATGAAGTCTTTAGAGATTAGATTCATCGATAAGTTGAATCTTTGTCTTGAGATAAGTTCTACTGTTAGATTATTGGTTTCTGTAAATATTGTGGTATTGTATGAATCGCCAAACTTGGGGATGATAATAGAGTTATCTGCATTGTTTCAATTGTTCTAGAGAACAGAACGCATTTACTTATTATCAAAGTATTGTATAATAAGTAGGAAAACAAAGTGATTCTTACAAAGGAAAACAGTTAGAAAGGTTTTGTGAAAGGTGTAAGATGTATAATAGGAGAAATAATAGCTTGACGATTAAGTAGTATATTAATTTATATAACTAATTTATGTATTTAAAAACACGATTTCGACCTTTAATAAAGTTTCTTCAGACTTTGATCTTTTATATATTCAAAATATTACTTTGAACTTATCGAATTCTTACTCTGACCTTTAGATAAAATTATTGTAAATACATCTTCATAGCATTATCTTTGATTGTTTATCGTGAATATACTTTTATAGTCTTATTAAATTATCTATTATATTGTAATTTATATGTGCCTGTGCTTGGTATCATTGTTAAAACTACTTAAAATTAAACCCACATTATTATTAATTCTGATTTATTCAAATAAACTATCGTGCTTACTGAATTTAACTTTATTATATTGCCTCTTATACTATTATATATATTCTGATATCCCACTGTGAAGATATCTTCACGATCCTTCCTACTTACCCACCATATCTTATAATTATTATAATAATAATTATTCATTTATTGTTGTTTCTATCTTCCTTTAATTTATCATTCCTTAATCTATATTCATCCTAATTCTATATAAAGAAACTTTATTTCCTAATTAGTCTAACCATTATTCACTATTGCTAATCTAAATCTGGCTCACTTGCTGATGCTCTTTCAAAATTATGATAGTAACACTGGGTCTCTTACAAAATACTATGTTCAATATCCTTGAATTATACCCAGTCTAAATCAAGAAGGGTATAAATTAAGGGGAGTATCTTGTACTGCATTTTATAGTAGTTAGATAGTAAATTTAGTTAAAATTCTTGTAATTTTTGCTTAATATATATTTACAATAAAACAGTAGCAGAATATGCTAAAAAAAAAATAAATAACTAATGTATATTAAATATAACAGATTAAAATGAAATCAGATTAAAATGAAATAAGTGATAGTGTAAAATAGACAAGCTACTGACATTTTTGTATCTTCAATATTTGTACTCATTTCTTCTTGCATGTCCTCTTGCCTGTTTCTTTGTTTGTCTTCTTGCTTGTTCTCTTGCCTATCTTCTAGCCTATCTTCTTGTTTGTCTTTTTGTTTATCTGTTTGCTTGTCTTCTTGTCTGTCTTCTTCTTTGATTACATGTTTTTCCTCTTGCCTTTCACTTTTCTTTTCATAGTTCATCTTTCGCGCAATAACGTGTGGAACTACATAGGGGAATGCTTCTGATGCACGTCCAATCCTTAAATATTTTGATCCAGGATGTATTACCAAGACTTTTGATCCTTCCTGTTCTGGCTACAAAAACAGACACAATTAAAGACCTTGAATCAAGGAATCTTGATATGTAGAAAATATCATTCTACTACCTCTTCCTCCTCTGTAGTAGCATCCTCTTCATCCTCATCCATCTCGTCTTCATTCTCCTTTTCTTTCACCACTTCTTTTTTAATTTCTTCTCTTTGAAAGTATGAAACGTCATGTCTTAAAAATTTTGAAGTTACGTACTTTGTTACTATCGGTGCCTGCGCGGCAAAATTAGTAAACTTTAACTGTGGTGTGTACAATCTATCTATATTATCATTTTGTTTTGGTTTTGGATTATGCTGTTGTTGAGAAGATTTTTGAGATTGAGGTTGAAAATAAGTCGGCAGCTGGGGCTGAGACTGTTCATTAGGAGTGTCTGTCGCGTTACCGGTAGATTGTGAATTTTCCATTATCGCTTAATAAAAAAAAAAAAATAATTCTTCTGATGTGAATTACATGGCGATAGCGATAGGGTTTTTAAGATTCTACCGATCTGTCATATTTCTGATTGGACGAAAATCGATAATTTAACATTATTATAATTTTGAGATACATATTTCAACAATTACTGACCCAAAATCGATGAAATTTTTTTTCTATTTCAATCCTACACATTTGTTAAGTTGAAATAAATTAATTTTATTGACTTTAGATGGGTATTTGTTGAGATATCTTCAAAAAACTTTGGGCGATTATCAAACAGAAACTGCGCCTAAATTTTTGATAAAATAATATTAGCAAAAATACCTTTCTTGATGGATCGTTGTTACTACATGTTTCTGATGGCGATAGAACAAAAAGTCGATTTACATACCTTTCTTGATAAAGCTCTAAAAAATTACGTTACCGTCGAAGTAATAAGCATACACAGTAAAATTTTGCAGCTCTACTATTACTGTCTAATCTGATTTGTAAAATCAATGCTTTAAATAAACTAGGAAAATAGAACTATATTCGAGTTAGAATTTGGAAACGGTTTTATTTTTCATATGCTAAAACCGGTTTTAATCGGTTTTAGCATATGAAAAATAAAACCACTTCCAAACTCTAATTCGAGTTAATCTTTAGTATATATCTGATATGAAACTAAAATAAGAGTTCTTAGAAGAAGACTGTGTTGTAGAGTATAGGTACTATATATGACAGTGATGTCACAAAAAGTTCTATTACATGAAGTTCATGCGTATAAGTTCTTTGTGGTAGCTCAAAAGCAACACCAACATCTCTATGGTAGGTACTTGCCTGGGAGAATA